TGAATGTAGCTTGGATTGATTACAAGAAGGCATTCAACTCCCTGCCAGATGACTGGATAACCAAGTGCCTAGAAATAATGGGAGTCAGTAAAAAGATCAGAAGCTTTGTGCAAAGATCAATGGCACAATGGAAGACACAGTTGCTGGTCGATGGTGATAGACTTGGAGAAGTTAACATCAAGAGAGGAATCTTTCAAAGAGACTCACTATCACCACTACTCTTTGTCCTTGGCATTGATTCCTCTGTCAACAATACTGAACAAGCCAGGCCATGGCTATCAAACATCAAAAACATTTGCCAGGCTATCCCACTTCCTTTACATGGATGATCTGAAGCTATACCGAAAAAAACACCATTTGAAATAGAATCACTGCTAAACACAGTCTGAATATACAGCCAAGATATTGCAATGGAGTTTGGACTGGATAAATGTGACACCCTTACCATCAACAGGGGAAAAACAGTGAAAACTGAAGGAATCAAGATGCCCAGTGGAAATAACATCAACTGTCTGGATGAAGAAGATTACTACAAATACCTGGGCATCCTTCAAGCTGACAACGTCAAGCACATTGAAGTGAAGAAGAAGGTTAGGAGTGAATACATCATGAAAGTGAGGAAGATCTTAAAGTCCAAACTCAGTGGTGGAAATACCATCAAGGCAATTAACCTGGGAATTCCAGTCATTAGATACAAAGCTGGAATAGTGGACTGGACTCAAGCTGAACTAGAAGCCCTGGAAAAATAATGATAATGAATCTTGCCCTTCATCCACAAAGCAACATTGACAGACTCTACTTACCATGGAGCATAGGTGGGCATGGAATGTTGCAAATATACCAGACAGTTGAAGAAGGAAAAAGGGCATTGGAAGAATATCTGAAGGAGAATGAAGAAGATGCACTGAAGCTAGTACACCATGAAGGCTTACTGAATACGAAAGAGACCAAACTGGCCTACAACAAAGACCAAATGAGGAATAGAAAAGAGACACGGCAAGGCAAAGTATTACATGGCCAGTATACAAAAGATATAGCAGGCAAAGCAGATAACAACAAGACCTGGCAATGGCTAAGAGCAGGAAAGTTGAAGAAAGACACAGAAAGGCCAGTTCTGGCTGCACAAGACCAAGCCCTAAGAACAAATGCACACAAAGCCAGAATTGGGAAGACAGCAACAGACAGCAAATGCCGCCTCTGCAAGGAAGATGAAGAAACAGTGGACCACCTAGTCAGGTGCTGCAAGAAGATTGAACCGACGGACCACAAACAACGACATGACAAAGTAGCAACAATGGTGCCTTGGAATATCTGCAAGAAATA